CATGTCAAGTTTGTGGTCAACCAAGACTCCTAGATCCTTTCACATGTACTGCTCTCAAGCCAGGTGTCACCCATCTTGTATTTGTGCCTCTCTTTTTTTTGCCCAAGTGCAATACTTTACATTTCTCCCTGTTAAAATTCATCTTGTTTGTTTTTGCCCAGTTCTCTAATCTGTCAAGGTCATTTTGAAGTGTGATCCTGTCCTTTGGGGTGTTAGCCACCCCTCCCAGTTTGGTGTCATCTGCAAATTTGATCAGGATGTTTTGGGACTACAACTCCCATCGTCCCTAGCTAACAGGACCTGTGGTCAGGGATGATGGGAGTTGTACAGTTGTTGAATATGCTTCAGGTTGAGCGTTTTCAAGTTACGCTTTGCGGTGACCCGGAAGAAATGGAACGCGTTACTTCCGGGTTTCGCCAATCACGCATGCGCAAATGCTCAAAATTATGTCACACAGATGCGTGGAAGCGGCAAAACACAGTCGCGTGTCACGTTCTACTTTGGATGCAAACAGGGCTCCTGAATGGATCCCGTTTGCATCCAGAGGTGCCACTGTAGTCCCAAAACATCTGGAGGGCTGAGTTTGCCTCTGCCTGCCCTAAAGCTTCCCTTCCCAGTGGTGCAGCAGGTGAACACATTAAACTGCCTTATATTGAAGTCAAACCAGTGGCTTCCTCTTCTGGAAGTTCTCAAAGGACAATCTAAACCCAAGACTATCTAGCAGAGAGGCCAGGGAATGAAGCAAGGCCACACAACTCCCTCCCAGCGAAGTTTGTCTTGCTCTTTCTTCTCTTTTTAAGTTTCAGGCATCTGGCAATGCCGGCATTTTCCTGCAGATGTTTGGGCCCTTTTGATTGTGCTGCTGATACTGGTTTTCTTTGCTAGGCTTCTGCTGTTTTTATTAATGTGCTGTTGAATTTTTCTTTCCTGGTTTTAATCTGCATTTTCTCCTTTTAAAAACTGTTAGCTGCCTTGTAGATTTTGTTAAATCTAAAGAAGAAGATAGATGCAGCTTTAGCAGAAGTGTGCTGGTTCAAAAAGTACATAGAGTATACATTTCTTTCTTTCTTTCTTTTAAAGGTGTTAACAAACCATTATTCAGCCGATTTTTCTCTAGGATGGGTTTCTGTTCTAATGAGCAGTAAACATCAAAGTCCTGAAGTTTCCCTGTGACTTTTGGTCTGCATTTTCCTCTTTTGCCACCAATTCTGCTGTCATCTTCAGCTAATTTATATCCCTGGAAGAAAGAATCATAATCCTCAAACTCTAATCCTCCTTAAACCAATTTGATTTTTCTGTCCTGCACTGGGTTTGATGTGCAAGATAGCTTTTGTCTGGTAGTCAGTGAAACATAGTCAGCTTGGATTCGCAGGTCTTCCAGATAAAGTCACATCAGAAAGAAGGAAAGAGTAGTTGTGGTTCATTCTGGGCCTTGTTAAGTAGCTGGTTGCACCTAACTAGAAAGTGTAGCTGTTAATAATAATAAAAAACACTTATCTGATTAATATTTTGAAGATGTTTTTCATAAAAACTAGTATGAATAATTATTTTCCCAGTTGTTTCTCTGAAGCAGATGTAAGTACAGTGGTGCCTCGCAAGACAAAATTAATTCGTTCCGTGAGTTTTGTCGTCTTGCGATTTTTTTCGTCTTGTGAAGCATGGTGTCGGGAAAGTTATGGAAAAGCTTCAAAAATCACCAAAGTCTTTAAAAACCTCAAAAAAGGCTACCACACCGCGTGCTATGAGTTGCTCCTCGAAGTCAAGTCGCAACTGTATTAACGGTGTTAAGAAAAAGGAAACAAACTTGCAAGACGTTTCCGTCTTGCGAAGCAAGCCCATAGGGAAAATCGTCTTGCGAAGCAGCTCAAAAAACAAAAAACCCTTTCGTCTAGCGAGTTTTTTGTCTTGCGAGGCAGTCGTCTTGCGAGGTACCACTGTAAGTGGTAGGAAATGAGTCTAAATAGTCCCCATTTGACACACCAGGTAAAGTAGTAAGAATCTTTTCTTTCCGTTTTACTTAAAAGGAAAAGAAACAATGGGTTTCTGTGTATATTACTTATAAACAAAGTTGTAGTGCTATCTCACCCTCATTCTGAAAAAGCACAATACTACTTGCAGTTGGCCTCTTGACGAAACCTTTCAGGAACCACATTAAGGCTTCATTCTCCTCCTCCCCACGCCCTGTTTTTGACCTCAAACCATCTGAGTACATCTGCTATAATCAAATAGATGCAGTGAGCATGGAGGTCTGCTATATCACAGTGTTTAAGGAACAGTTTAGTACAATAGTGCAGATGACATAGACTATTAGGCCAGAATTAGCCTCCGCAAATCAAACAAAACAGAAGTAACTTTTGTGCCATCTCAAAAACAATGCTTTTTAATGGAGACAGTTGACATATTCAGTTGTAAGTTATACAAGAGAACTAAGAATGTACTTGCATGTGTGAACTGGCCCTTAAATGTGAAGCAGAACCTATCCACTGAGCTGTATTTTCTGGGTCCTATATAGTCACTTTGATGCTCAGTTGAAATAGTGGTATATGTACAGTAAGTTGGGAAAAATAGTTTTCCAATTAGCAAGTTTCTGGCATGGAAAATTAATGAATCTTCTGTTTCAGAAATGCGTTTTTGTTACAGTAAGCCCTCTTCCCTCGATGCTAAAATACAAATGGACAGTTATATAGTTCATCCAGTTCTTGTTCTCATAATATTCTTTCCTCCTTTCCTCCTATAGACATGGAAATCTAAGACTGTCCTCATGCTCTGCAGTTTGTGTGACTGCCAATAGGAAGCCATGGCAATCCCAGCATGGCAGATAGTATGCAGTGGGGCGAGAAAGCAGCGTTGCTGGCAGGCATTTAATGGAAGAGGGAGAGGTGCTTCGCAGAGTGATTTAGCAAGCCGCTCTTTTCACCATTAAAATGTGACTGCAGGGGGGAGGCGCTTCTCAGAGCAGATCTGCAGGCTGCTGTGTGAAGCTGCCAGCGTGGTGTAGTGGTTAAGAGCAATGGACTCGTAATCTGGTGAACTGGTTTCGCTTCCCCGCTCCTCCACATGCAGCTGCTGGGTGACCTTGGGCCAGTCACACTTCTCTGAAGTCTCTCAGCCCCACTCACCTCGCAGTGTTTGTTGTGAGGGAGGAAGGGAAAGGAGAATGTTAGCTGCTTTGAGACTCCTTCGATTAGTGATAAAGCGGGATATCAAATCCAAACTCTTCTTCTTCTTCTCTTCCCCGCTTTAAACACGGCCTCAGCAAGGTTCAATGGAGGAGTGAGTTGCTTCACACAGTGTTTTAGCAAGCTGCTCTGTGAAGCACCTCCTCCCTCCTTGGAAAGGGGTTGGGGGTGAGGTTAGCTGTGCGGGGAAAGGGGCTGGTTATATAATGTTTTTATTTCATTTTATAAAATTTATATGCCACTTTACTGAGCAAAGCCTGCCCATGTACTATGTTTAGATGGTAACCCCTTTGATCACTCAAGAACTAAGCCTGTTCTTGAGTGATTGCTCGTTGTGCCCTGCTTATTACCATTTGTAGCTGAATAATCCAGAAAGGAGAACTCCAGGAGATTTCCATGTTTGGCTGCTTTTCTCATCAGTGCTTTAATGCTGGCCGATGAAGGAGGCAGACCATAAATCTTAGCAATATTACAGGGCTGCTCCGGTTTTCTACCCAAGGACAACATCCTTCTCTCCTTCCTTCCTTTAGCTGTTACCACACATATTCTGAAACGTGTCAACATTTTGATCATAATTTGTTCCTTGGCTCCTATTTTCAGTTTTCAAATTCCCCAACCCAGACACTCATGCTGGTAGAATAGCCTTTTAAATTTTTGGTCACTCATGTTAGAAAATCAGTAAGTTAATGGGATTAGAAAGACTGACTACTTTATTTCAGAAGTTATGTAAACACAGTCCTTTTAATGTAGGGGAAACTAGTTTGGATTCTTTTCATCTGTCTTTGCACAGTCCAGATGTTTGGACCTTCTCACAACCCCATCACATTATAGATGCATGATAAAAAAAGGTCATGTGTAGAGTGCAAATGTCTATGGCATGATGTTTATGTTCTCTTTCTTCACACTTCCATTCCTTTTCCTTCCTTTAAAAAAGATACATTAAAGCCTTTTGAAGTTTAAAGCTTAGATTGTTTATTCTGTATTGTTAAAATCAGTCCAGATAAAGTGTCTTTTGTGAAATATGTGTTTTAAATTCAAATCAGATCCTGAAGTATTGCTGTTGTTCCCCATTAACTCATTTGGATATTTCGTTAAATTCAAACCTGCCATGTATCTTATACATCACTGAAATGTCATTTTGCGTGCAGAAATGCTAATTTTCATTATATTGTTTGCATCTTACAGTTTTTGAATTTTTAGGATGCATTACTCTTAAAGTGCTTGCAGAAGGGTGGCATACAGGTTTTGAAAAATAAAAAAATGAGGCTGAACAGAATTCTCTAGGGAGGGAATTGCGGGGTATGGCGGGTTCTTGAATCGTGCAGGTTTGTCACAGCTCACCCCCACAACATGACATGGGTCCCTGCTAGGGCTGGCCGATGTCTGGTTTTCCACGTTGTGATACATCAGCAGCTAAATACCTCAATATGCTGATGTATCATGATGTCTTGAATGTATCTCAGCTGCTTCTTCCTTTCTCATATTGCGCAGCCCTACAATGTGCCTCTCCAACTTACGCCTGAGCTGAAGGGGCATCAGAGCCTTAACTGCTCATCTGGGGGGGGGAGGGAGCTTCCAACCCCCCACCTGAGCCAGCGCAGATGCCTCTCCATCGGCCTATTTTGAAGCTTTGGCAATTGAACTCAACTCTCAAATGAGACGTGGACCGTTGTCATGTTTATCTGCTACATGATAACCATCTCTCATATCACTAGAAAAATCACCATAAATTTGTGAGCCGTGCTTACTGTTTGTTTGCTTGCTTTTGAAAAATGTTAAGTAGCAACTCATTTCTCTTTTTTGCCTTTTCCCTTGATATAGGATGACAAGGATTTGGTTCATGAATTTGTTGTGGCAGAGGGCCTGACCTGTTTAATAAAAGTGGGCGCTGAGGCGGACCAGAACTACCAGAATTATATCTTGAGAGGTACGGAAGTTTATTTCACAAGCTGTTTTTGCTTCAGTGCAGCGTTTTCTACTCCAGCCCATTCTGTTTTCATATTGCTGCTTAGTTGCAAACTACAGATTTCACAGTTTTCCTGTTTCAAGTAAAATACATTATTTGTTTGAAGAAACCCAATCCTTAGTGCATGTCCTTTCACCTTGCAGCCGACCGGATTTGACTTCACCTGGCATCCAGCTGCCTTATTTACTATTACTTTCAAACAGCACCATTCTGGTAGCCACTGACCACCAAGTGTTGCTTGCAAGCAATTGGCATGGCTAGTGGAGAAGTGGCAGCACCATTCTGGCTCCCCTCTGTAACCAGCATGGAAACCAAGTGTGATTCCAGAGGAGGAAAGCTATGAGATCTACATCTAGCATAGAAATTAAATGTGCTACTGCAAGGGACGTGAGTGGCGCTGTGGGTTAAATCACAGAGCCTAGGGCTTGCCGATCAGAAGGTCGGTGGTTCGAATCCCCATGACGGGGTGAGCTCCCGTTGCTCGGTCCCTGCTCCTCCCAACCTAGCAGTTCAAAAGCACGTTAAAGTGCAAGTAGATAAATAGGTACCGTTCCGGCGGGAAGGTAGACAGCGTTTCCATGCGCTGCTCTGGTTTGCCAGAAGCGGCTTAGTCATGCTGGTCACATGACCCGGAAGCTGTACGCCGGCTCCCTTGGCCAATAAAGCGAGATGAGCGCCGCAACCCCAGAGTCTGCCACGACTGGACTTAATGGTCAGGGGTCCCTTTACCTTTACTGCAAGAGGAATGGGACTCTTCTTCCTTCCTCTTCCCAGTCACCAGTAGGCTAGCAGACATTTTTTCAGGCTAGGCTTATTTACAAGGCTACTTTCAAACACTTCCTACCCCCTGCGCCCCCATTGACTCTTTGTCCATCTCACTTTTCTTTCTCTTATTCTCCTAACATCTCACTTCTTAACTTTTGGACTGTAAGCCTCTGGCCAGGCCTGTGTTATTCTTAATTATTGAGGGCACCTATCAATTTTAGACTTGTCATAAATAAAGAATACCAACAACAACTTGCATAACTTACTGACTCGCTCAGTTATTTATTTAAAGTACCTGCTTTTTTTAGGTGCTATAAAGCGATTTTAAAAATGACACAGGTCCTGTCCTCAAGCTTACACTGTAAAAGACACAAAGGGAAAAAGCTATGGGGGAAGGAAGGCGGGGACCAAATTCAGGTAGCAAAACTTTTAAAAACACAATAAGTGGCATCAGAGAGACAGTATAGTGAACCAAGGATCCAAGTGGAAGTTAATTCCAGCTGATTCAGGGTGCCTTGTTGCCCTGCCTCACCTTTCTCTCTTTTTCTGCCTCAGTCCCTACCCCACACCCCCAAAGTTGCTGGGTGAAATGGGTGCTAATAAGAGAGGGTTCTGGGAGCAAAGGGACAAAATGGCGGTTGATTTCAGCCGAGCCAATGGGATGGTTGTGTTGTCTCATATCTCCCTCTACTGAAACCAGGTGGAATGGCTGCTAATGCATTAATCTTTTTAAGAGCCTTTGCACATGTTCAAGAAGCTCTGTAAATTGAGTGCATGGCATACACAAGACCATGGGTAGGCAAACTAAAGCCCAGGGGCCGAATCCAGCCCAATCACCTTCAAAATCCGGCCTGCGGACGGTCCGGGAATTAGCATGTTTTTACATGAGTAGAATGTTCGCTTTTATTTAAAATGCATCTCTGGGTTATTTCTGGGGCATAGGAATTGGTTCATCCTCCCCCCCCCATATAGACCGGCCCCCCACAAGGTCTGAAGGTCAGTGGACCGCCCCCCTGCTGAAAAAGTTTGCTGACCCCTGCTCAGGACCATAGGATCTGCCTCCATGCATCTATTGTTGTGGTTATAAATTGTTTCAGTAAAATAAATAAAATATACCTGCATAAAGTAATGTGCAATCTTATGTGTACTAGGTTGTACAGTCTAGATGCCAGGTATATGCGTGTAGAGATGTGTGCTGTATTTTACAGTAAAACAGAACATGTAGAAGGGTGATGAGTCAGAAGCACAAGTGCTGAATGTGTCTTTTTATTATCTGTGGCCTTTGCGTCAGGCCTGAATACAGAATAACTGGTCTATGAATGTGGAAAAGTTAGCTTTTCACTGAGTGTACTAGGGAAGTACAATACAACTCTGTTCTACTGTTATCTTTATGCGATTGTCCACTCAACAAAAGGTTGTGTTCTCCGAAAGGTTGTGTTCTCCGTCGTTCAGATTCAAATCATGGAAACCCAGCCAGATGGGCAGGGTATAAATAAAATTCTTCTTCTTCTTCTTCTTCTTCTTCTTCTTCTTCTTCTTCTTCTTCTTCTTTTTCTTCTTCTTCTTCTTCTTATTTATATTTATCTTTCATCTACATTCAGGCAGAGGAAAATGTTTTTTAAGTGTCCAAAGCGGAGTTGGGTGGAGATGTTAGCAAAAATTACAAGCCACATATATGTCCTAATGAATTAGAAACATGGGTCAATATTTTGTATTCCATGAAGGTGCTCTGATAGTGGAAGAACAAGCTTCTCAGGCCCAAGGTCAGTTCAAGGATGCTTCTTGGGTTTTCACAAGTTTTTCTGTTTGGTCCGAATCTCCTTTCCTGTAACTTGAATCCATTGACTCTAGTCCTTCACAAACCTGCTTCATCTTCTATGTGATAGCCCTTAAGATCAGGTATGTCTAAAGTCCATTTCGGGGGCATAATCCTAAAAAAAGGTCAATAACTTTGGCTGGCCCTTACGGCCCTTTACTTCATCAAATCTGGCCCTCTTTGAAAGATGGTTATCCTATCTACTCTCTGTATACTCTTCTCCAGGCTAAATACACCCAACTTCCTCAACCATTTCTCATTAGGCTTGGTTTCCAGACCAGTTTTTCCAGCTGAAGGCTCCGCATGCAGATGCTTGCAGAGCAAAAACAGCACAAGCTACACATAAAAAGTAGTTGCCACTCAATGAGGGAATCTGAGGTTTGAAGAAGTAAAAACAAACAAAAAACAGAACAATAAATGAAGAGTGTCAAAAAGTTAACTGCTCCCCTTATGCAGTGATACCTTGGTTCTCAAACGTCTTGGCACTCAAACAACTTGGAACCCTAACACTGCAAACCTGGAAGTAAGTGTTCCGGTTTGCGAACTTTTTTCAGCAGCCGAACATGCTCTCTTTTGAGTGTTATGCTTCCGTTTTCAGTGCCACACTTCTGTTTTGAGCGTTACGCTGAGGTCTGTCTGATTTTTATTTTGCGTTTTTGTTTTTACGGCTCTTTTTGTTTTGTTGTTGTGATTGTGTGGAACCCAGTTCAGCTACTGATTGATTGATTGATTGTGTGACTGCAGTACACTGTTTATTGCTTTCATTTTATGGATCAGCGGTCTTGTTAGATAGTAAAATTCATGTTAAATTGCTGTTTTTTAAAAGTCTGGAACGGATTAATTCATTTTGCATTACTTTCTATGGGAAAGCATGCCTTGGTTTTGGAACGCTTTGGTTTTGGAACGGACTTCCGGAACGGATTAAGTTTGAGAACCAAGGTACCACTGTATAAAGGGAGAGGGAATGGAGAGTTCATGGCTTGGAATAAAGACAGGGAACAGCACACAGCTCCAAAGGGGAGGCTGTGCAGTGTCTGACCTTCTCAGGTGATACAGGCCTAAAGTTAACAAGATTTAAGGCCAGAGCACATAGCTTTTAGGGAGGGGTGCACGGCAACATTTTGTTATGGGATCCTGCTTGTACAGTGGTACCTCAGGTTACATACACTTCAGGTTACATACGCTTCAGGTTACACACTCCACTAACCCAGAAATAGTGCTTCAGGTTAAGAACTTTGCTTCAGGTTGAGAACAGATATCGGGCTCTGGTGGCGCGGCGGCAGTGGAAGGCCCCATTAGCTAAAGTGGTGCTTCAGGTTAAGAACAGTGTCAGGTTAAGAACGGACCTCCGGAACGAATTAAATACTTAACCCGAGGTACCACTGTACCTCATAGTACCAGATGCTGAGATAATACATTGAGATGGAGAGCTCTTGCCTTCATGGCCTCCCTGTAAACTTCCTCGACGTATTTCTGGTACAGGGGGGCAGTGTGCTCTCTTGGAAACAAGGCAGCTAAATAGTTGGCCTGTTTGAGCTGCCCTTATCATGTAATTTCTAGCATTGGTTCATTTTTCATTGGTGAGTCATTTTATATGGATGTATCTGATCGAAAGCTGAATACACCTCGTGTTGTTTTGATGTTGTTTTCAAAAGAGATTTCTAATCGAATTGAATAATGCCATCTGTGTCAAAGATCAGTTCTCAAAATGATCCATTTTCGGCAGTCGCTAATACAGTCAAGCCCTTTAAGGTTCGCTCTGTTATGGGAACTCAAAACAGTTTCATCTAGATACATTCTTTTAGTTGTTCAGTGTAACTTTATCATGTTTTGCTTGAAGGCTTCTGATGTAAACTCTGATTTTATAGGCAGAGCTTACTGCCAGGAGTGACTGTGCCTCGTTTTCTTTAATTAGCAAAAAGAAAAGGAGATAAAAGTTGGCTTTTACGTAAAAGACCCATAAACCAAGGCCATTGTTTGCGGAAATGTTACACTGCTACAGAGTGAGAGCATTGTACTTCTTTGTTAGAAATTTACAAAGGAGCATTGCAGAATAATTTAAGCATGATTTTGCGGTAATAACTGTCTGCAGGGACGAGATGGTAGTGGAAGCAAGAAGATAGTACATCTTTGTTATTGGCTATAAATAACAATTGATTTTTAATGATTAAAATATTTATTAAGCACCTTAGAGACTCTATCAGAGCTAAAAGGGACCATTGCCCTGACCACATACCTTTTATTTTGTTTTCATTTCATTCTTCCGAATAATATTTTAATGGCTTAAATATCTCAAGATCAAAGACTTCTTTGATATGTGCATCTCAAGTCTTGTATTCGAAACTTGTTGTTGTCACTTCTACCTTTCCACTTCTTGACG